TTTGTTTTTTAAAATCCATATAGGCAACAAGGAAAACCGTTGTTGAATAACATAATTGCTGGTCGCAGAAAAACTTTGTAGTGGAAAGAGATGTCTAGCAGTGGCCGCTTACGATACTGTATCTGACTGTATGCGAGATACACTATATTTTTTGATGATGATGAAACAAATTAATCGTCACTGCCAACTACAATGGGTCACATCCTAAGATTTCGTAACTGACACTGGCCCAAGCCTATATAGCAGCTGCCAGAGCCCAAGTGACCGTCATTAAGGATTTAACAATAATACAATGTGTCAAAGGTCTGAGAATTCAATCTTTTACATCATCAACGTCGCGTTCAAATTTGCAGTTTTTAAAGTGACAGTTTGTTTATTTTAATAACCTGCAAAATTTTAGGATGATTTGTCACCTGTGTGTTTCGCATTTGTTTGAGAAAAATCTGCATATTTTCACTTGTGACGATCATGGTGTACTTGTACTTGTACTTTTCTTGGGTCTTACCGTGGGGTTTTTTAGAGTATCACTATTTCGTCCTCCTTATCATAAGTAACGTAATCGACGACTGCAATCATCTATAAGTACATATGTTTTTATTTATATTCTATTTAGTTTCAGTTTTATTGTTAAGCAATATTAGCTTAATTGTCATTTTTCAAAGAAAAAATAGTAATTTTTGTGACTGTTACACAATGAAAGGCATTAAAATAGGTGTGGGTTTCACAAAAACATCACACGAGTGTTTTAATGCCTAGTTATGAACAATTACATACACTGCTTTATTTATACACATATTATAAGCTCTTTATGTTGTGTTCAAGAATCGCATTTTGCGACTGGCGATATGGCGGCAATTAAAAACTTTTCTCACGCATGTCACGCAACCGTAGTTTTTTTAAATTCATAGATAAATTAGAATCGGCTCAAACTATTATATCGTTCGATATCAAGTAACGTGTGAAATTTATCAAAATTGTGTGGTATTGACATTTCATTTCGAATAAAACTTCATCTCGACTGATGTTAGCATTGAGGTCGAATGAAATTGTTTTGTTTTTCAGAGATGTTCGAAATTTGAATGTAAATAATAAAATCGAAGTTGATGTTATTAGCAATAATAACATTTTCATAGATAAGAAATTTGTTCTAACAAAACAGTTTATCTTTATGCTGGTCGTAATTTGCGGTTTTTGAACACATCGTAGAGAGTTTATGATATGTGTGTAGATAAAAAAGTTTAAGTGCCAATATCTCGAAAGTTACCAAAATGCAATTGTGTTAGTTATGACCAGTGGTCGGAAAAAGATGTTCCACATTTGATGGCTTTCTAGAATAGTGACCTATCTCAAAAGCATCTAACTCTTAGACAAGCTGAGACTCGGCTGCGGTTCAAAGTTGACGAGTCGTAGACCATCCCAATATTGTCATGTGATTATTTTAACCAATAAAAAGCTTAGGATCTAAATCACAATAATATTTGTCATTTTCGTAATAAATGTCAGGTCCTAATAAATAAAAGGATCAATTTTGGATTAGGCCACTATTTTTGAAAGGTAGCGATATGTTGATTCACGTATAGACATAGCTACAAGCAGCGACATAGGGTTGTTGTAACCACCAAATATTAATTAATTATTTTTTCGAGTTCCGGATTTTCGGAAATGGTTTTACTGCATCCTAGGGCAGACTTGTGAAACTTCTGACCTAGGAAGTCGAAGTTGAATTTTAAAGTAATTCCAATGATGCCATGTAAAATAATGCAGTAGATAACTGACAGCCTTGTTGCTGTTTCGTCAATATGATACTTTTTTTTCTCTGCTTTGGTAAAAGACTGACTTTCTAACTTTTCTACTGCATTTTTTACATGGCCCCATTACAATTAGGTACTTTAAAATCCAACTTCGACATCCTAGGTGAGTAGTTTTGTCCTACGATGCGGTAAAAACATTTCCGGAAATCCGGAATCCAAAAAAGTAATTAATTAATATGCGGTGGTTTTAACAACTCTATGTCGCTCTTTATAGCCATATCTATTATGTGGGACCCCTTTTTCCGACCATTGGTTATGTATGACAAGGAGAGCAGCATTGCTGGTGTACTGCACCGATATACTCGGTGAAGCTCGAACGCATCTTTGACGTAGTCCGCTACTGCCAACTGTAGGTAGCCGATATTGCACATTAGCTACGCGCCAGACACGAATATAAACAACCGGCAGATCTAACGGTGTTTTGTAGAAAGGGCGAAAGCGCTATTTCGAAAAATTGTTCAATGGAACATGTTTTAGGTTTTCACGAGTGTTTTAAAATATTTACATCTTGTTTTAAAATATTATTTTTGTTTTACAAACTATAAGTTTAAAAATTTAATTTAAATAAGGTACTTGTGCCTATTACAAACTATACTTTTCCCGCAGATTTGAAATTCAAATGCATTCCATCTGCATACACGCTGTTCTCACCCTACTACTATGAAGTACACAATTTTCGTCTAATAGTATATACGACACCATTTTATTGTCGACCGTAAATCGATCTAATGAAGATCGATGTCTGACTGTTTTTTCGTAGATTGAGAAGGGACAAAATACACGTGATGGCATCAAATTTGGGGCTCCATCAATTGCCAGACACACGTTTAGGAGATATCAAGTTATATGGGAGCTATGACCCCATACATCAGTAGCTTTCTCGTTTATGTTTTTGAGTCTTTGACCTTTCTATTGATCATCTTTTAACACGTTCTTTTAACAGCGATGTTGTTGGGAGAACGCTTACCTGGTATTTGAGGAGGTCGCCTTCGAATCATTTCGCACCTTGGTGTAATAAGGCCATATATGCAAAATGATAACTTTTCTAGTGAAAATTTAAATTTTCTACGAACGAAATTAGTTGATAACATTTTATGCTTCAATACGTGAGTTATAAAATTTCAAAAATACATAATTTGTTTCCTGTAGTTCGTATTATTATTATAACTTTTATATGATAAATTCCACCAACGTTAAGGCTTCTAAAACCTAAATGCACTTTCAAGGAAAAGGTAAAGTAAAAAAAACTTCTTCTAGATACTCAAAAAAGGGTATTCTACAGCGCTTACTTTAGGTGGCGAAAACTGGCTACATAACATTGTGTAATAGCAACATGATTTACATATTTATTACTTTTATACAATATTCACAAAACAATTCAATTTGTAATTTTAGTTATATTATTAATATAGTTAAATAAAATCTAAAAAATATTATATTTTATTACATTTATGTTATATTTATATCATCTTTCGTTTAAATTATAAAACATGGAAATGGCATCAGCTAGTTGGTTATCGGAACCGCGGCACTCTTTAGGTTATAGCTAAAAATCAGCGGTTTGCTCCCGAGTAAACAACGACGCTGAGCTATGGCCTTTTAGCACTGCTACAGCAAACGTACTAGGTAAACTGGGTGTCAGACATAATAATAATTTCACCAGCACCCTTACCTTTCGAAACTGGAACGCAGTAGGCAGCAGAAATAGGTAAGGTAGCATTTGCCTGGACAAACTCTTTCACGAGGAGCTCTATTGCTACTAAAAATAGACGTTTTGACGTATACTGACCGCAGGGAATTTGGTTTTCGACGCTTTTTGTTATAACTATGTATGTTCGCTTACCTTGGTTTATGTGTTTTGTGGATAAAAAAATCTTTTTCACCTCACTAGCTCGGAAAGTCTTTCTTTCTCATTAGAAATCTGCGCTCAAAAGCGTTTTTTCCACGCTAACATGGAAAAGGTTTTTAAAGTTTGAACTTGACGATGGCTGTGGTGCACCCTTCTTTCGATGAAAAACAACATAATGACACTTTCAACTACGCGATTTGTCGTATATTATGTATGTAATCATTGACTTACAATTATATGGACGTCGGGTCCGCGCTAAAAAGTGTCCGCACTTGTAAGGCGCTAAAATCGTATACAGAGCGCCAAATTCCGCTTTAGTCTTCATTTGTTCGACTGACAGCGCGATACTGCGATGACATTACAATTTAAATTTCAAATAGGTTGACTTGGGACATTTTTTTCGTGCTTTTTGTATTAGACCCGTCGTCCATTTATTTGTAAGTCAATGTATGTAATATAAATTTATTGGTACAATTTACTCTTATTATTGTTGACATTAAATTGACAACGATAACTAATTGTGTTTATTAGAAGTTATTTGTTATAATTCAACTGGTTTTTTTTTCATGGTCCATTTTCTTCGCTATAGTGAAGTGAAAAGGTGTGTGTTTCGCACTGTTGCTGGCAGCAATGTTGTTTTGCATCTTACACCTTGAAACCTTCACTAGGATTCTTGTTTTGTCTTCGTCTCCTTCTTTTTTTTTTTTTTTTTTTTTTTA